GGCCCCCCGCCCCCGACTGCCCCACAGAAGGAGGCGACCGGCGGCGGGGGCAGGGCAGACCAGTGAGCGCTGCCCCCACAATTGCCCCGCCTGTCACCTCCAAGGTTGGTGCCAGCAGGGGCCCCCCAATTGCCCCACCAGTCACCCCACAGATTGCCCCTGATCACAGGCCAGGCCTAGGGACCCTACCCGTGAATGAATTTTTTGCACCAGGCCTCTAGTAATTAATACTCATTCCTATACCATAGGGTAGCCGGGGCTCGTCCACATTACGCACTTACTAACCATTAATTATCTGTGTACATGGTGACAAATACATGCTTACATATAAAATATTAGCATCACACTTGCATTTTAAGGCTTAGATACATATAACTAAGGTGAGCATATAATTAAATGTCCGAACTGAGCTACTTCCGAGACTGAGAATTATCAGTAAGTACACGCAGGACGCAGTCACCCTGTGCTGCTGAAACGGAAGAGTGAGCTCGCTCACGATATTACAACTAAACTCAGAATTTTGGAGGGCAGCAAGGACAAAACATTATTTTTGAAAAAGAATTAATTCTTAAAGCGAAGATATTAAACCCGAGCAACAAGATGGGCTTCCCGGGGTCCGTGAAACCCTTGTCACTAGACACACGGCTCTGTGTGAGGGCTGGCCTGGAGGAGGGGTCCCTGTGCCGTCACGGTTTTATCGGGGGTGTGATCGGAAAGATTTAATGATGTTTCTGAAATATCATTTCTACTTTATTGTCTCTTATCAAGACTCATTTTTTTTTGAGTTTTGGGATCCTCCAAGGTCAAGCGATAAAGGTACTGAAATTTCAACTCTTCATACCAATTTAATGGCAGGGATGCCACCTGTAGACAATGTTAATTCTACACATTTTTAAAAGAATTTGGCTCCTTGTCCTGAATTATCCACTTAATTAATTCACTGAATAGGGATATTTTTTAAGGGTCAGTATTTAAAAACTATTCCATTTTACTACCTACAGCATAAAATTGTGGTTTTCTTAAAAGGTTTCCGCTTACCAATTTATTCCCATGGGAATGAAGGGAGGTGATAAGGTTCTATACGGCATTCAGGCAAAGGGAAAATGCCGCCTACAGCATGTTTTATGTAACTGCAAACACATGCCGAGCGAGGAACACTGCGGATCGGGTCTGTGCGCCCCTCGGGTAGAGCAGGCGTCCTCTTCTTCCCGAGCCCCCAGCGGGCCAGGGGCTCAGCTGCCAGCGGGGCTCCCGGGCCCTGGCCCCGGGGCCATCCGAGGGGGCGCTATGCCTGGCCTGACCTTGGAAGGGAGGGACGGGCCAGAGGAAATCTACCAGGTGACTGGGTTCAGGTTCCAATGCTTTAGCGCTGGCCGAAGCTGTGGCCAGCTTCCCACTGCAAGCTCACACAGGGTGACTTTCCTTCCTCACCTCCCTGCTGCCAGAATCCACATGGACTTTACTTTCTTAGGAGAAAATGTGTCATTTGACTTCCTTCCAGTTTACGTACTCATGCCAACAACTAGATGCTTATAGAACCAAAATGAATTACTGCCCAGAAATGGCGGTCAAAGTTCCAAAATGTGATCAATAAAATTGCTCATCTACTCACAAATTAATCTTCAGCCAGTAAAGTTCCACATTTTCCAGCTTATGAGCACACCTGCACTATTAAGCATTTATTTCACTTGTTTAAGCAATCTTCAGAAGTATATAAATATTTATAAAAGTAAGCCTACTACTTTTACTTACATATAATTTTCTTTCTGCAGCGAAAACTTGTTAATTTTTTACAACTCATAAGCATTCTGAAGGCAGGCTCTGTGTCTCCCACAGTCTCGTATCCGTGGGTGTCAGTAAGATGCTCCCCACGCTGCAGCTGTTCGAGAAATGTCCACCAAGTTGCATGTAATTAGCTCAGCTCATTCTGATTCTGAATTTTAGATGAGGCCAGTTTTCATTTGTATCATTCATGAAAAATTGGCAAAGCAAATAAAGACTAAAATAAGAGGCTATTTAGGTTAGGTATTTTTAAAGAACTTGGGAAGCAGTATGTATACTCAACCAGTCCTCTCTATAAACCACAATGTCACCCAAGAATGCGGTAGCTCAGATTTTGTTCAATATGCGCAGCAAAGACCACGATTCTCTCTTTACGCCGATCTCCCTGAAGTTAGTTGAAGTTGGGGATGTTGACTGCATTCTGTGCTCTCTGTCGAGCAACCACAGAGAGCGCCTCTAACTTTCCATGTTCTTTTGTTTGCATCACCAGCCTGAAGCTGGGGAGCGCTGCCAAGCCCGAAGCAGGGAAGTGTGAGATATGCTTAAAATATGAGTCACAGTGTATTTGGGGATTTGGGTTGCTTTCTTTCTCCTCCAGCTATCAGCAGATCAAATTCTTCCTCCCTGTGCAGCCTCCTCCATGCAGAAGGCCAGACGTCTGTGAAAATAGGTCTCTAGCAACGAAGGGAGGGGGTCAGCAAGGAACAGCGCTGAGACGCACCGAAGGATCCCATCCAGTTCAGGGCCCGGGCTGAGCCGCCGGCGAGGCGTGCCAGGCATGTTCACATGCACAGGTGACCCCTTCTGTGAGTCCCAGAGCCCACATACGTGTTTTCCTAACTGCATAACCTACATGGGACCTCGGCTGGTCATTTCTGCCTGGCTGTGGAAGGCCTGCCAACCTGATAAAGCTCAGTGAATCTACATGACCACACCAGGCAGCTGAGGAGCCATTCTCCATGCTGCGCGTGCTCGCACACACACACACACACACACACACACACACACACAGACACAACCCTTTCCCCCAATCAATTCCTGAAGCTCATCTAAATTCTCTGCTTGTCCAGCCTCCCACTGAGGGTAGGGAGCGAAGTGAACATCTTCATTAGCAAAGGCAGCATCAAGACGGCCCCTCAGCCAGTGCGTTAGGTGGCCCTGACGCTGTCCTTGCCAAGAAAAACGAAGCTCTATCATACTGTTCTGCAGCTGCAACACCACAACGGGCAAGAAGAACAGCGCCCCAAAGGAACCCTCTGAAACCCGACTTCATATACTTAGCCCTAAAGGAACTTCATTCATCTTGGGAAAGAAGTTACCTAAAAATGCCATATGTAGGTTTTTTTTAAAAAAAGCCAAGTATGAGGGAAAATAAGTCTAGTGTACAGAGTGACACATGGTATTCCACACTGCGGGCAGCGCCCAGGAGCCCGGACGTGCGCGCTGTTTCCTTAAGTCTCTAAGCACAGCTCCACTCTCTGTCAGCGTCCACCCCCAATAACAGAGACTTCCCCCAGACACTGGGGGGCTGACGAACCCCCGGGTGTCGGGCTGTGCGGGAGCGGACAGTCACCAGGATCGCGCCCGTGCGGTGAATGCATTAGCACTTTACCGGCATCCCTGTGCCAGGACAGGTCCCAGTGCCGTGCTGCGTCCGGCAATGGGCTCTGCTCTGGAATCCACAGCGGGCCTCCGCTGCTGACCGCTGAAACACCAGTCCCAGGCTGACGACGGAAACGGTTCAGTGTGGTCCTTCCCGCTTATCCGACTTGAGAAACAGGCTCCCAGCTGAACGGTCAGCGCCGTCCCAGCCCGTCCGCGGAGCTGTCCGAGGCCTCTGCACGGCAGCCTGCGGGCACCTGGACGGCCCGCTCTCCCTCATCACAACGGCCCGTGGACGCCGAGCAGCAGGGGCTGGCGAGGCTCTGCCCAGGAGGCACTTTGGGAAGCGCAGGAAACAACGTGCACCCACCGGCCGGCCAAGTGCCACCACGGCGCCCAGCCTCCCGCGGCGGCCACACTGTCCCCCGGGGGCAAAGAAGGGTGGCTGCCCGAGGTCGTGTGGCCGCCGCCAGGGAAGGTGCGCTGGGCAGTGGTTTGCTCTGATCTGAGAGGAGTCAACACAATCCAGAATCTGGGTTGACCGCGTGATCCAATGATTTAGCACCGAGTTCTGCCCTCAGCAGCAGTTAGAGATGCTGTCCCGAGTGTCCGTGTGGGAAGCCCACGCAGCCCCACGCCAGGACGCCACCCTCCGCTTGGGCAGGAGCGGCCGCTCGGCCTGCGCCACCCTCTCGGATGGGAGTGTCAACCCCAAGTCCAGGCTCTTTGAAGTTTCTATTAAAGTGTTCTGCTCCGATAGAAAATCAAAATTAAACTTGTACAAACTCACTCCTTCCCACATTGTGCCTGAAAGGAAGTCACTAACACAATATTTCTTGGTATCTTTATATAAAAACTGCTCATCACTTTTTATGAATAATTCTGAAGTGTGTGGAAAACATCCACCCAAGAAAAGAGTGTATATGACAACCGCGACCAGGTGCGTTAAAAACAGCACAGCCTCTTCGCCCTGGAACAGCTCCTGAGGCTGGTGGCATCGGGGGCTGGCAGTGGTGTGTGGCAGGGACTTTTCTGGAATGCAGGGTGTCCAGCCCCATCCCTGCTTCTACTTCCCACTTCCCAGCGTGTCAGCCACACCACCGCTCCCCCAAGCATGAAAACTAAACACGTCTCCAGACACTGCCCACTGTCCCCCGCCCTCCCACGCACTGAAGGAGGTATGTGTGCACCCCATCATGAGGGACCACGTAGACCTGTCGACAGAGAAGGTGGCGATGCATGTGAGCACCGTGACCCTCTCTCATCGCGAGCGGCCCAAGCACCACACCTGCCCCCGCACATCGGCCGACTGTCCTGACACCAGCAGGTCTCACCCCACGACAACACGTTAGGGTTCAACAGACCTTTCCCTGCGACGGCACACTCTGCTGGGAAGCTAGTGGCACCTCCACGGAGGCCAGCATGTGACTGCCATCCTCACACAGCCCCTGGTCAGTGCTGTCCACGTGGGTAACGTCGTTTACTCTTAAAAGGATTGCTACCTGGCCCTCGGCCGTGTGGCTCCGCTGGCTGGCACGCTGTCCGGTGCACTGACAGGCTGTGGGTTTGATTCCCGCTCAGCGCACACACCCATGTGCTTTAAAAAACCACGTTACCTGCAGGGCTGGCTGCTTGTCATTCCTCTTGGGAGACTTGATCCCGCTAACCTGCTGCTGCTGCTGCTGCTGAAGGAGGAGCTGTCTTGCCACCTGAAGGGCCTGCAAGGAAAAGTGGAAGAGACAGGTCTCCGTTACCACAGGTCAGAGCAGCTGCGCAGACTCCACGGGGCACTTATGGAGGAGCTCCCGCCCTGGCCGGTCTGGCTCGGTGGATAGAGCGTCGGCCTGCAGGTTCGATTCTGGTCCAGGGCACATGCCCGGGTTGCGGGCTCAATCCCCAGTAGGGCCATGCAGGAGGCAGCCAATCAATGAATCTCTCATCATTGATGTTTCTCTCTCTCTCTCTTCCTCTCTCTCTCTCTCTCTCTCCCTTCCTCTCTGAAATCAATAAAAACATATGGGGGGTGGTGGTGAGGGGAGAACAAGTTACTGTCTTTCCCAATTCCAGGCAAATGGAACAGCAAACAAAACTTTCCATCCATCTAAGTTGAAAAACATTCCTCAATCTGTTGACATTCTCTGAGGTTTAGTCAGTTTCACAGAGTTCTTTAGGCATAGCAGCCACCTAGGCAGGCATTTTATCCCCACCAAAAACCAACACGACATGCGGACACGGCCATGAGAATGTGAGGGAGGCAGGCGGGGAGCAGCTGGGAGGCACCTGGCAAAGGCAGAAACATCTGAGACGGGAGACGAGGCTCCTCCCCTCCTCCAATTCCGCGGGGGCAGCTCGGGGACTCAAGGTGAAAGGAGCACGTTCACCTCATCCGAGTCCAAAACCAGGAAGAGTTAGGTGGCGCGCACAGTGGGTGACGTCACTTGGGAAGGAAGACTAACAGGGGAGCTCTACTAAGGGAGCCTCGGTGGACTGTGTAAGGGGAGGACTTCCCACATTTGACCTCTAAGTTGACTTGAAGGGCACGTCCTGCACCTCTGAACAAAGCTGGTGTCTCCCACAGATGACTGTCTATGGCTTCTGCCAGAGGAGGGTGTTATTTAAAGGCAGTGACTACAGCGGTGATACGAATCGGAGGTAAAGCAAACGGAAACAGGAGAGTCCTCCGAAGTGCAGAGTGCATGTTTCAGTTCTGTCCTGTTTTAGGTAAAGGATAGTTGCCATACAACATTATGTTAGTTTCAGGCACAAAGCATAGTGGAGCTGCCTGTATATACTTACTAGAGGCCCGGTGCACAAAAATTTGTGCACTCGGGGGGTGGGGGGGCCCTCAGCCCGGCCTGTGCCCTCTCGCAGTCTGGGATCCCTTGGGAGATAACGACCTGCTGGCTTAGGCCTGCTCCCGGGTGGCAGAGGGCAGGCCCGATCCCTAGGTGCAGCCCCTGGTCGGGCTCGGAGCAGGCCGATTGGGGAGTTGGGGTGCCTTCCCCTGTCATGCACAGAGCAGGGCAGATTGGGAGGTTGCGATGCCACCCTCAGTCACGCTCAGGGTAGGGCCGATTGGGGGGTTGGGGCACCGCCC